CCCCTTTGCTGAATTCTTAAGATGAATGCCAAACAGAATAAGGAGAGATATCAAAACAATGCTGGGACTAATAAAGCAGAGCCATGCAACAGAAACTCTCTCCATTGGACAGAAGTCGGTACTCATCCCTGTGGTTTTGGCTTTGGGGAATAACAACACAAACATTAAAGGAATCCTAAGTTGTGACAATTAAAAGAAAGTTGTCTGAGAGCCTGGGTGGGCGCTGAAGGCTCGGCAGTATCGACTTCCTTCAGTCTGATCTCGCGCCTTGATCCGGCAGTTGAAGCTCCAGCGTCGAGCTCTGAGCTGATATTTCGAGCCTAAAACCTCTTCTGGGCTCCCTCTCTGCCCCTCCCCGATCGCTCTCTGTCTCATCCCAAAAATAAATAAACGTTGGAAAAAAAAAAAAAAAAAAGTTGTAAATGGGTTTCAGTGTAAGCAATTAAAAATAAATATTTGGGGTGGGGGTTATGCAAATTATCTGACTGGGACTATTGCACCCAGAAAGGAATCTGACAGTTGTTTTAGAGTCAATGTGGAAAACTGGCCCAGTGTTATGCATGGGGAAAAAGAAAACATCATCTGCTCCTTACACTAACCATCTCATGTATGGTTTATAACTAAATTTCCCTAACTGTCCCCAAAATATATTTTATGGTTTTAAGTCCATGAAACAATATTTATACATTATACCTTTTGCTTCCTCTCATCTAAAAAAGACAGGCATCTTTTTTATGACATTCAATTTTGAAAAGTCAGACCCAGTTATCTTATAGAATGTCAGAGATTTGTCTTATTTCCTCACAAACAGATTCTGGTGAGTAATTTTTGGGAGAATACTACGTAAGTGATGTGTACTTATGGTGTCATGTCACAGGGCACATGCTATCAAGTTATTTCATTATCGATAATGCTAAATTTGATCAGTTAGTTAAGGCAGTGATCACCAGATCTATCCACTCACTTTCCCACTGTAATTACTAAGTCAGCAATGGGGTAAGAGCATGCATGGACATCAATAGCCTATTCCCCAATGTTTTTAGCATTCACTGATGATTTTTGCTGGAATCAATTTTTATACTGGGGGCTACTGCCTGCCTTTATAATTTCTTCTACATTTATTAGCTAGCAATTTCCCATAAAGAGCTTTCTATCATTTTGAATATCACTATAGACTTATTTTGTAATCTATTCCTTCCTTACTCATGCTGGCCGCCAACTGTCTCCCATCTGGCCCCTGGGGCCCCTTTGATCAGGCTCCTGCATTGTTTGAACATGACCCTGCTAGGTCACATCCATTTTTCCAGAAAAATAAACACATGACCACATTGTTGTTTCCCTGTATCAGGACTAGTTTCAACGGTTTTCCCAATAAGTCTTGATTCATTTTGGAGCAACAGTATTAGTAACAAAGACTGAGTAGGAGGTTGGCTCATTGTTAATGATGCCTCGTCCCCTCCAGGCACTTTCATGGATAGAGCTGGTAAACATATTTACAGAATATCATGAATTCAATACAATTTCAACACAGTAAGATTTATTTCACCTTTCTAACATTTATTACTTTTGAGACAGAGAGAGACAGAGAATGAACAGGGGAGGGGCAGAGAGAGAGGGAGACACAGAATCTGAAACAGGCTCCACGCTCTGAGCTGTCAGCACAGAGCCCGACGCGGGGCTCGAACTCACGGACCATGAGATCATGACCTGAGCCAAAGTCGGATGCTTAACCAACCAAGCCACCCAGGCGCCCCTATTTCACCTTTCTATATTCCATTTTAATATATACCTTCTCCCACGGTGAAACAAAAACTTAGTTCAATATGATGTATATATTTTCTCATTTGCCCTCACCTACAATAAGCGCAGAACAGTTTCAGAATTTACAATGCTTTGTGTTGTAGAACATTTCCAACAACATACCTACTATGTGAAATCAATATCTTTGCAGCTTTATATGTACGCAGACAGTAAGTATTCCACTAAGAGAATATAGTCAGAGTACTGTGTTCAAGTTACTTGTTTTTTTGCTCTGTTATTAATAATAATTTGATATACAGTTGAGTTCATCTGTTTCTGTGTTTAATCACTTTGAATTTAACATTGCTTTTTATTTTTATTTTTTTATTGTTTTTGTTTTATTTTTTATTTTTGAGAGAGAGCGAGCGAGGGAGGGGTAGAGAGAGAGGGAGACACAGAATCCGAAACAGGCTCCAGGCTCTGAGCTCTAAGTACACAGCCCGACGCAGAGCTCAAAATCACGGACTGTGAGATCATGACCCGAGCTGAAGTCAGGTGCTTAACTGACTGAGCCACCCAGGTGCCCTTTAACATTGCTTTTTAAATATTTGAAGCATTGCTTTTGAATTTTTTTCTCTAGGAGATATTTCTGAACAGCCGGTACTGGGACTCCCAAGTTTCTGCCTTTCTGTTAAGTGTCATGAAAAAAACACTTTTTTCTAAGCCAATTTAGAAAAGAAAAGAAAAAAAAAAGCTATATGTATCTTTACTCTAGAAGCCAATGTATCTTTTCTTTGAAAAATTGTAACAATACAAAATTGCCATAGCATTCCCAAATGCAGAAGTTATGACAGGAAAATAAAAGTCCCAATAAAGTATCCAAGTGAAAAAAAAATATATTTGAAGCATTTAAATGGTACAAAAGATGAAAACATACAGTTTTCAAAAGTTTTTTAATTAATTAATTAATTTTTGGAGAGGGGAGGGGCAGAGAGAGAAGGAGAGAGAGAATCCCAAGCAGGCTCCGTGCCATCGGCTCAGAGAGCAACGTGGGGCTCAATCCCACAAACCACAAGATCATGACCTGAGCCAAAACCAAGCATCCAACACTTAACCGACTGAGCCACCCAGATGCCCCCAAAAATCAAAACACATATTCAGAGTAATATTGCTTATATTCTACTCCCCCTTCACTTCCATAAGAAACCATTTTTGTTGGTGATGGTTTACCCTCAGTTTATTTTTGCAAAAATATGTAAAACACATATATACATACATATACACCAATATTTGCACTTATGTACATATATACATAATATATACAAATTTAATGCAAATGTGTCTATACTTTTCTATACTATACATAGTAGTTCACACCTTCCTTTTTTCACTTGCTAGGAGAATATTCTCCAGAGGTCATCTCATACCAGTTCATAGATACCCTCTTCATTTTTATGTACATGGTCCAACGTTACATTCATGCGCCACAGTTTATTCAGTCACTGTACATGGATCAGCATTTAGGTTGCTTACAACATTCTGCTTTTACAAATAGCTGCAATGAAAAACTATGTCTACGTCATCTCTTCTTTGTAGATGCGTATATTCAAAGCAAATTCCCAGAAAGGGTATTGCTGGGTGGGTCAAAGGGCACAAATAGGCATTAGATGCACAAGTAGGCGTTAGATGCACAAGTAGGCGTTAGATGGTGCCCAAATCTGCCCCACCCCCAAAGGAAAGGTGCCATCTTGTACGTGTACCAGGGACATATGACAGGACCTATCTTCCAGTCAGGCCACCACACTGTGTTGCCAAGCTTTTGAAATTTTGCCATCTGACAGGTGACAAAAGTACTTCAATGTAGTTTTGACTTGTAATTTTATGATTGAAGTGGAGCACCTTTTTGTACAGTTAAAAGTCATTCATTTATCTGTTTATGAAAACTGCTCATGTCTCTTGATCATTTTTATTGCATTTGCCAAAAAGATTAGCTTTTATCTATGATAAATCTTACAAATATTTTCACTAAAATTTATCATTGTTATTTCTGTGTGGGTTTTCTGTCCTGCATTTTTAAATTATTTCATAAAGAAAAATTTCTTGATATTATTTCTGGGTTTGGAGGAATTCTGTACACCCAGATAATAAAATACGTCATTCACACTTTATCCTAGTAGTTGGGTATTTAAAATTTTATGTATTGATCTCTGACACATTTAAAGTTTATTGTTTCTGATATATGGTATGAGGCATAGATTTAATGTGCCTTTTCAAAATGGCTATGTCCCTTTATCCCAGCATTTATTTAATTTTTTTAACGTTTATTTATTTTTGAGATAGGGAGACTGAGC